TGATCCAAGTCATCTTTTTGTTTTATCTTTAAGACACATGTTTTGGTTCATTTTGACATTCAATAAAAAAAATTATTTTATGTTGCTAATTAAGGGTAAATTAGAAAGGTCTTCTTTATTACTTCGTAGAAACGAATGACTTTCATAATTATATTAAGAAAGAAAATATATTTTGTCGTTATATTATCCATCACTATCACGTGGGACCTTGGAGGGACACAATAGTCTAATTTCACTGATTTACTTGTCCCAATATACGATTATGGATAAGTATGATTTATTCAAAACAATGTAATGTTCAATCTCCCAGCATCAATATAATTGTTTAAATGAATCAAATTATTTTACTGAGGACTCAAGTTAGAAAACCGGCTGGCATCTCCGCATCTCCATCGAAGAACCCTCCAAGTGGTTTCAAGTAAATGAATACAAATTAATTTTCTTTGTTTTAAAATTAAAGGTGGAGCAATTATCCAATCTCGTGAGTGACCGAGAATATATATTCGTCGATAATAGATGTATAGCGTAATAATGTGGCTACGTACGTTTTCCTCATAATAGTATGGTTACTTGATTTAATAAAAGCAGCTAATTCTAAGTTATTAGATCAAGCTGTTGTAAACCACTAATGAAATAGTAACGAGTTATATCCTTCAACAAAGCAGACAAAATTACGAGTGACGGGCCAATAAAGAATTGATCATCGAGCTTCGTACAATATTGGTATGAATCATATAGCCTAGATTGTAGTGGAGTGATCAATTTTAGCGTAGTTGTCAATTTAGAAGCCTTTAAAAGTTGTCAATGTAGAAGCCTTTAAATGTTTTTCTCTAGGGAAGTGTGAGAAGTGTCATGAATATCGAAATTAAATGCATTCAACAACCCTATCGATCCAACACTCGCTTTTATTTAATTTCATACATTAAAATCATCTCCACTTGTTTATAACCACATTGTCCCTTTAGGAACCACAACAAGAGAGAGTGAGAAATAATCAAAAAACAAAAGTTTGTGAGAAGAAAATGGAGAAGAGTAATGATAATGATCATAAGGCTAGCCACGGTGGCTCCGGTGGTGGTACGACGGAGAAGTGGGAGGAGAGTAGCCCCGGAATCCGAACCGCCGAGACAATGCTCCGGTTAGCTCCGGTGGGGCTTTGTGTTGCGGCACTTGTTGTCATGCTTAAAGACTCCGAGACTAATGAGTTCGGTTCAATTTCTTACAACAATCTCACAGCTTTCAGGTATCTTCTCCATATTTCACTTATCTATATATATATACATACTAAATTAATTAGTTATCTTCAAGGTTTAGACTTTAGAGTTACGTTTCCTTGCATACTATTTACGATTAGGGTTTGTGAGCGAGATGTTGAAACAAATTTTATATGAAACACAAAATGATGTAGTTTAAAGAAAGTGAGTGTAATTATCTGTAGACGTTTGTAATCAGAAGCCTATTGTTTACAGATTTATTACTTTAATTAAATTAATTTTGGACAGTTAAACCAAACAAATTGGTGCTTTAATTGTATTTATATTAATTTACCAAACTATGAAGACACGTGGTCAAGCTAGATTTGTTGATTATTTAAGTTACCATAAATAGGGTTTGATTAAGTAAGAATGATTAAATGGTTGTGTTTATGGATGAAATAATTTAAACTATATATGGTAATAAATGTAATTACAATTAGGTACTTGGTGCACGCAAATGGAATATGTGCAGGCTACTCTCTTCTCTCAGCAGCCATTTCAGCAATGCCTCGTTCTTCTTCCACAATGCCTCGTGTTTGGACCTTCTTCTGTCTCGACCAGGTCTAGTTTGATCTCAAAACATTCGTCTAATTATCGAATGATCCGCTAAAATTAGTATCTGATTATTGTTATTGTTGTCTCAGATTCTGACCTATGTGGTTCTTGCTGCTGGAGCTGTATCAGCTGAAGTTCTTTACTTAGCCTATAAAGGAGACGATGCCATAACTTGGAGCGATGCTTGCAGTTCCTATGGCAGTTTTTGCCATAGAGCTACTGCTTCTGTTATAATCACATTCTCTGTGGTTTGTTTCTATGTCGTGCTCTCTATCCTCTCCTCTTATAAGCTCTTCACTAGGTTTGATCCTCCGGCCATTGTTGATTCCAACAAGAACCTCGAAGTTGCTGGCTTTGGAAGTTGATTCGTAGCCCTTTTTTCAAGTACATCTTGTTGACATGTTTCTTCTACTGTTGTCTTTTAACTTTGGTCAAAGTGAAAAATGCCTTTGTGTTTGGTCTTTACAACTGTGTTCTTATTCTATAACAACTGGTCTATAAACTACTCCCGTGAAATCATGATAATCATACTTAGTTTATTGACCAAAATCACCGGTGAAATGAGAAACTTAAATTAACCTCAACACAACGGTTCAATGCACACACACTGTTGTGTAAATTGATTCAAATCCAACCAAAGTAGTTGATTCAGGACAAAGCAGGAAGAAACATAGTACGAAACAGGAACTCAATGTAAAGATTATTGGATTATAGTTTGCAAACAAAAACTCAATATAACATTATTGGATCAGATTCAGTACTCTCACCTCTGTTTTAGGTGTCTTTTAACTTTACTTACTACACAAATTTTTGCTTTGAATTCAAATAGACACAATCCGAGAGATTATGGAAACTTCTGTATTTGTACTGCAGGCAAGGAAACCCAAGCTAAATAGCCTAACCAAGTGTTGTCCAAGCTTATATGCTTCACCACACCGATATATATATATATAAAAGATCGATTTCAGAAGTTTGCAATTATACCTTTGTTTTATTTCCGCAAGTAAATTTCCTACTTTTTCCCATGGCTGCTCATGAAAGAGTGGCGTTTCAAGAGCTTCTGGGAAGGAGTTTGGTGATCGTCCTACACAACAACAAAAAGAGTTGAAACCAATTAGTGTCAGTGTCGAGATCATCTTTGGGGAAGAGAAATCAAAGGAAAGGCGATGCAAGTTGGTGCAAACCTTGCACAGAGATGCAGCTGATTCTGATTCCATTGTCTGGATTTGAGCGTTTTCAAGCGACTGGAACGAATCAAGGGCATCAAGAGTTAGTTGCCATCCACAAACAGCCTCAGCGAAACCTGACGAACTCGAGCTGGTGCTGCTACATCCGGCAGCAGCCACATTTTCATTAACCCAAGGGCAGTAACAGTTGTGATACTTTATTGGATCAAACTCCACAACTTCATCATTGCTATCTCCATTTGGAGGGCCTGAAAATGAATCAGCATATGCTTATACAATCATATTACACTCTTTTAAGTAATTATTAAGTTTAGATCAGCAGAGCTTTGAAAACCTAAGGAAGAAATTTCTACAGACCTTGGCCATTGGCAGTGTAACTTGATCCGGGGAGTGCAAAGCCAGCGTTGAGCGGAGACTCGTTCCAAGTCTGGGTCACCTCTTCTTTGGAAGCTTCATAACCAGAACACACAATCGCATTGCAAGACAATGATGGGTGAACACTGTCGTCAATCATCAACACATTTATGTTACTCATCTTTTCACCGCTTTCAACAGATTCAGCCTTCAGCGAATCAACAATTTTGGAGCCACTGTCCGCCCTTACAATGGATTGAGACACCCTATCTTCACTATCCCCAGGCCTACCTTCTCGATCCATTTCTTCTGGAACAAAATCATCAGTAAGGCCTTGGTCTGGTGCAAATTCACCGCTTTGTCCCAGATTCTCTATGACTTCTGCAACGGGTTCCATGTCTCCAACTACGCTATCTCCCCTATGCACTGAAACATCAGCTCCGTGGATTTCTGCCTCGTGACTTGCACCCATTCCGACACTACCCCCACTAACGCCTAAACTTGGTCCATCTCTTCCCTGGACAGTGACAGTTTCTGTGTTCAATACTTCCTCGCCGTCATTTATACTGCTAATGCCTGCTTCAGCATTAAACTGAACAGGAGCTGGTAGGAAGCATGCACTCTGCTGAGCTTGATTGCTGAAATTCAGTTCTGAAGGATCGTTGAAGTCAGCACTTTGAGCTGTCGCCACAGAGGGAAAATTTACGTCATCGAAATCCCCTGGATGGTTTTCCACACTTTCCATAGAATCATCATTTGCACTGTGGCAAATTGTATCCATTGCAATGACAGAGGAAGCACGTGTGGAGTCTCTGGCACCTGGGAAAGCCATAGCTTGTTCATTACCTTCACTACATGGATCACTTCTATTAACTTCCCTCTCATTTTCAGCACCCAATGAGTGACTTGGCCCTCCAACTGATAAATCTCGCCCGTAAAAGGGAAGATAAGTTTCATGCACATCAGAGCCTCGGGTACGCTTTGAAGGCCCTGCTGAATCATCATTAACCTCATCACCATCACGGTCAACAACAGTCCCTTCGACACTGTCTCCATGTTGTATCCGTAGATAAGGCCTATCAGCTGTGCTTCCACCATCATCTATGCTCCGTTTACGAGTACTGGGACCTCGTGATTCATATGAAGCAGCACGATCACCAACCTCACTTCCTGAAGGCTGCCTTCGCAACACTTCTTTTCCTCTATCACTAAATTGGTAATTGTCACGCGTCACAGACATGTTAAGCGCAGAGGATGATGCACCAGCTGCAGTTTGATATAAGCTTTGACCTACATTTGATCCTACTCTCCTCTTCACTGATGTTTCAGCCTCGTCAACATCTTCATTTTGCTGCTGTCCCATGCCTTCATTAGCAAACCATCCATTGATTCCACTTGTTGCACTAGTGCCACGTGTCAGTCCAATTTTCTTGCTTGTTTCAGGAAGATTGGCATTAATAGGTGCAAACGGAACCGGCCGAGAAGTGGTCATGAAATCCCAAATTCTGATGGTTACACCACATAAGCTACAATCCAGCAAAGGCGATCTGGATTCTGATTTATATTCTGAACCCAAACCTTCATAATTGCCAGAGGCTTTTCGGGATGAAGCTGAGAATTGTTTCCTGCTTGGACCAGGATCTTGTAGGCGACTTTGATTTTTAGCTGGGCCGGAAGGGCACCCATTTCTAGCTGATTGGGCAGAATGTTCTTCACAATCTTGAATATTTGGAAGCCATCTAGGCTCCCATCCACAAAGGCTTATCAGCTTTTGAGCCTACAAGATAAAACTCAAATAAGAAACAGTATCAGTTTATGGCTAAGCTTGAATTTTCATGTATACAACAGCACATATCTCCAAGTTCTTACGCGAGAGTAATTACTGAGAGCCTCCTCTTTGGATGTTTCTGCAGCTGAGATATTATCCATTCTGAAACTGAGATCATCATTGGCATAGACTTGGGGCTGTGCCAGAAGGCGGTCAATTTGTGGTCGTCTAGAAGCACGCATCTGGTCAATTGCAGATATGGAAACAATTGGTAGAGAATAGAATTGTAGGAGCCCATCACAACGATCCTTGTAACCTCCAATCAAGGCTGATGGAGGAGTTGGAGGAAACTGAACTAAGCTTTCTGGACAACTATTTCCTACCCAAGGACAAGAGCTCTCATGTGCGTCATCAAGCTGCTTGGAAAATTCTTCTCTGATGCTATCAGCTGTAATCAAAGATGGATGAGAAATATCAAACTTTAGGAGCATATACTGAAGCTGTATAATTCATGCCTACTAATCTATCTGCTTACTGTAAAAAAAAAAACTTGATTAAGAGGAGATGACAGCATCGCAAAAGGAAAGACAGAGACTATGGGCTCCGAAGAAGCTCAGAGAGACTTTGAGAACCTAGGTGCCTATGACTTTGTTTTTTCGGGAAATCCATGCAGGGGAAGATCCGGAATTTGAGACTTTCTATACTAAAAAATATTCTTTTAAACAAAAACTATCCCTTTTTCGTACAGTACAAGTGAAAGATGAACAGTTGAACTGCCTCGCCTGATGTCTCGATTTAGAAAGAAAAAGAAGATAAGTCTGGTTATAGTAACAAGAACTGACCTTCAGGATGATTCAACGAATATTGTGGAGAGTAATGTAGATTGGACCCACAGTATTCGCACTGAACTTTGTCCAGATCAACACTAACCCATCCTTTCTGAGCACAAGCCAAAGAACTAGCTGCCTGTAAACAAAGAAATACCATGGCCGGACACACCATCAATCAAATAACATTTCTTTCAACCAGTTGAAACTTGCAACATATATCACAGGACTAGAACGGATCAATCGAAAATAGGGAAAAGAGAAACATTTAATAAGCCCTCAAATGAGCCATCCAAAATATTCTTCCTCATTTTTCATTCCGGGTTATATGTAATACATGCATTGCTTCCATCAGCTACTACTTCTCAACATCAAGGAGCATTAAAATATACTATTGGATCAGCTAAGCCAAATTTCAAAGAACCGAAAAAGTATTTACAGAAGGTTATTTACCAGCATGCAGAACATAGCAAAATCCAATCACTATATTCATTAGATTCAAGAGAACTGAACTTAAACTTTAATAGGTTTTTTACTAAGAATTATCTCTTTCAGAGGATTCTAGTTTGCTGAATATAGACACATAGATTCGTATATGAAAATGCAAATAATGAGAGAAAAGAAGACTCATACTTTGGGCTTCCCAAGCCAATTTGAAGGCTTGAAAGTAGCTAGGCGTCTAAGTAAATCTCCTCGATCCCAAGGTCTACACGAACGACCTGATGATCCCAGCCCATGACCTGTCCAGTCCACGCTTCCAGCGTTTACCGGAACAGCAGGAGACGATGCCCCTGCAGAGCTGTTAACGATTGAACTGAAAATTAACCGGCGAATTCCCGAAACCAAACTTACAAAAACTAAGGCATTGCTAGCAAATTGTCGCGAAGAAACCAAATCTCAAACAACGAAACCCTAGATACGTCTCGCCTAGGATCTGAACTCAACAAAACAAATCAAAATGAATCGTAATCACACATAATTTCCCACTTCTGATAGTCGATCTGCTCTACGCGAGGACTTACCTAGCAGCAGCAGTTTGTGGAGGAGAAGGCGATCTAGCACGTCGTCGGAATCTATCAACGGGAGTAGCAGAGGCGGAAGCAGAAGCCGAAGCTACACTGTTCCGGGTACTCCTAGGGTTTACGTTCTGCGAACTCACATCTTCTTCCTTCATCCTCCTCCTCCGTCAACGACACACTCTCTCTCTCGCTTTCAACACAGTAGGCTAG